AATACTAAAAATGGTGCCAATGAAGATGACTGGGAAACGGATCCAGACTTTATTGTAGGTTCAGATTTCTTTGTGAAACTTTATTATGATTGTCAATTGTTTTTTTACCTTCAGTAATGACTGAATAACTCATAGATAACTATTTGTAAAATTTCCACAAATTAGTTTTGATGGCTCTTCAAAATAATTCTTAATATAAATAAGATTATTTAAAGGGTAGCACACTAACTAGTGTTTTTTGTTGTTATTAAGTAAAACTGAAATAGGGAATTTCAAAGTCATGACCCATCTAGTTCAGAAAGAGAGAATTTTCTGTCTCAAATTAATAACCTGCTATCCAAAATATAAAAATTATCTAAACCAGCATGGTCTAGCAGGTGGAAGGAATATGGTCCCATCACTGATTTTCTTTTAGAGCTGGGAATTACTTGTTAAAGTGTTGTGAAATGAAACTAAAATACATTTTAATGGGAAGTTGTATATTGTAAGTATTAGTATAGTGCTCCAACATTAGCATTTATAGATCAGCCCTCCAAAGAAACTTGGAAGGAAAAAATGGTTATCTTGAACCACAATAGTAGTTCATAATAGGGATTGTACAGGAATTTGCTCAAAACTATAACAGAACATTTGAGCAAAAATCACCTTAAAAAGCAGATTTATTCTTGAAACAACACTAAAAACCTTCTTTTTCAATAGTTAAGACCACCCAAACGTTGATAATAAGCAAAATAAGTGATTTCATAATTGTAGACAAAAATGTAATTTGCCCTTTTGTTCCTATTAATATTATTGTTTCACAAACCTATAGCGAAATTGGCTAGTTATTTTGCACCAAAATCTAAATAGATATACTGTATGAAGTGCTGTGAATGCCATGATCTATTTAAAAGTTGGTGATTTTTCACTGAAAACTTATTTACATGGTTATAAATACATTATAGACGTGTTGTTGTTCTGAGTGGTTGCTTTTGTTCTCGAAATGTGCTGAATGAGTGCTTACATGAAACTTCAAGCACAGAACCATCCGGCTCAGTCAATAATTACTTTAAAAAACATGAAGCTTTATTCCAAGTAATGTTTTAGATGTATTTGTTTTATTTGAAAATACTGCATATCTACTGGTAATATTTTGTACTTGCTTAGTTGAGGTTGTGTCTTACTCTAAGTATATATTTGCCCATTATTGTTCATTAAAAAAGCCAACTTACAAGATAATTAAAAAAAATTGAGAACTTGCAATCTACAAATAGGGGTAGCAAAAAAGTAAGCAAACAAGGCTAAAGATCTACTGCTGACAGTTTGTTCGAGCTACAAGTCTTTATTATGACTCCACTATAAAATTATTGCAAGTGATATCTACTGTAGTGTGGGATTGCACAGGAATTTTGCAAAAACCTGAGAGAGTAGTTTTAAATTTAAATCAATCTTCTTAATTTTGTTGTGTAGCAAGATTTTTAAGTCCTTCACTTTCTGCCATCAAAAAACCTGGTGTTTTCCAAGCATGTGTGTGTTAGTTGGAAACTTCAACTTGTGCATTTACTAGCACATTAATTGTAAACTGCCATGTGAAAGGTTTCCGATTTTGCTGTTGCATTATGTTACCCAAGTTGCTATTGTTCATCATTACTCGAGTTTGCTGTCTCTACGTGGATTTCTGCAACTATGTTTCAGCAAGTTTTTAACAGTGGATGATTACCACAGTAGATTTTGCTCCTAAGACAATGGTGGTGATTCTTTCTACTGTTTCTAATACTTAGATAAAATCATGAGTGCATATTCAGTATTTACTACCACTGCATATAGCACTAGTTCATATAGATATTGCTATTTTTAAATAGTTGGTATTAAGGTAGTGTTTGTAAATGTTGTCAATAATTGGTGACTTATGCTAAGTGTCATTGTTGTTTATTTTGCGTGCATTATTTATGTTGCCTTATTCTAGAAAACACTTATGCGCAGAAGGCTGTTGAAGAACATACATATGTGTCATGTAGATCTAAGAAGGTAAGCATGTTACTGCATCTGTTTACATTGGATTAATCTGTGTTCTATTGTCTTAGAAGAAATATTATCTCATTATGATGAAATTGCTTTGTTGCTGCTCGTCTGTTGTTACATTACAGTGTGACATTTATGGAAGCTGGTTGTTAAATCTGTGATGATACAATCTTTGCCCTCTAAGATGGTCCTTTGAGAACAAGTTTATATTTTATTTGTTCTAATTGCATACCACTACATATATTTATTTTATGTTGTTTATTTTTATTTATTTTCAATAAGTTCAGTGTGATGGTTAGGTGGAATAAAAGCCAATGCAGCAGTAAACACGCACCATTCAACTGAATCCATATTCACGTATGTAGCTTGAAAAGTTATTCTCCTTTATTGGACATAAAAAAAACTTAAAAAACAAGATTAGTAGAAATTTTTAATTTAAAAGGGGGGAATAGGGATTGCTAAAGAAGTACAGAAACACGTTGAATCAAAATGCAAAGATTATAGTTGTAGGCTTGAAAATATAATCTTTGCATTTTGATGCAACTTGTTTCCATACTTTTTTTGAAGATCCATGTTCCCCTTTTTAAATTAACAGTTTTTATTGATCTTGTATTTAATACTGGAATTCAGTTATTGCTTAGCTGAAAATCAAATGTTAATTTTTTAATTTACCTACTAATTTATTTTGACCGGTAATTGTGGCTCATCAAAACTCTCACAAGGTGATAATTAAATATTCATAATTAAAATTTCCAGTTTTACTTTTAGAAAATTTAAAGAATATTATAAATGACAATGAAAATGAATATCAAAATCATTAACTATGATTCCATATTGTAAATTTTTATTCTTGTCCACTCTCAAGTTAATGTAATTTTGAAGGATTTGTAAATATGACTAATATGTCAGACAAATCGTATGTATTCACATTTCTAAATTTACTTCCATGAACAAAAAAAAATAGAAATAACTTAAGAAAATGTAAAGAGTATAACTACAGATCAGTTGACCAATAACTCATATTTTCATTAGTGATCGAAATACACAAGATATGGACAACAAGGGACTGTTTAGTCCTTCAAGACTGTTCCTGCATAACCACTCTTGAAAAAAAAGTAAAAACTTGAACCCACTCTTTATTTTTTGGAAAATTATCAATTCTTCCTCTAACTGTTATAATTGCTGACCTTCATTACTACCACCAACAACTCATTCCATAAGCCAATTATCCTGTCATAGAAATAAAACTGTCTTGACTGGAGTCTAGCTTGTCTTTTCCAAATCTTGTGTCCTCTCCTCTTGTTATCTTCAAAATATTGCACAAACAAATCGGAGGCATTTATCATACCAGTCAGCAGAATAATCTTATAAAATTCAATAAAATCACCTTAACCTATTTACATAACATAACCCTTCTAGCCAACAAATTACACTATTAGCTCTCCTCTGAATCCTTTTAAATGAGTCAATATCCTTTCTTAGATAAGGAGACCAAAACTGTATGTAGTATTCCAAGTGAAGCCTGAATAGTTATTTGTATAAAGAGATAATTTTCTCTCTTGAATGCATCCTAAATTTCTGTTTTCTGCTACCAACATATCACTGCCACAAATGCTTGAATGGCTTATCCACCACTATGCCAAGATAATCAGGATCTGAAATTTGCATTGTTTAGTCAACTTTGACCAGCTAGAATGCTCATGGGATGGCTAGAATAACAAAAAATAGTAATCTGATAACTCCTATTGGGCCAATTAGAATTTTAAGTATTTTTCCTCTGTTACCTTATCATCAAACATGCATTTCTTTATTTTTTTCTAAAATCATAGTCGTGTTTTTGTCTTGTGAAAGTATCTTCTTAACTTCAATATCCCAAATAGAGCTTCTAGCTTTCTGGAGATTCCTGGCCTATTTTTAAATATCGTGGGAATCCTTATAATGTCTGAAATGAAAATTAGGTTCTTGGAACATGTGGAAGAAATGAAGTTGATGAAAATTAAAATCTCAATGGAGAAATACCTTACATTTTGGTCAGTATATTAAATAGCTATCTCAAGTCACATTATTTTGTTTCGTTTATCTGGATTAATATAAAGATTATGTACATTCCAAAAGTGATATAACTAAAAACTGTTATTTTGAATTAGATAGTTTTGTTTAATGTTACACATATATGCATATACATATTTTTTCAAATAATGCACATCTGCTACTTAAAAAATGGCATTCACAATTATAAACATTCTTAGAGTGGACCACTCAAAATGTTTGTGAAGGACTGGTTTCAAGTTTTTTGAATTTTGGATCCTGCTTGTAATCAGTATACCTATAAATGCATCCTAAATTTCTGTTTTCTGCTATCAACAAATCACTGCCGCAAATGCTTGAATGGCTTATCCACCACTATGCCAAGATAATTTTCTTCAGTCATGTCCCCCAGTGGCACAGCGGTATGACTGTAGACTTACAGTGTTAGAAACCGAGTTTCGATACCTGTGGTGGACAGAGCACAGATGACTCATTGTATAGCTTTGTGCTTAACTGCAAACAAACAAGTCTTCAGTCACACTGTTGAATGGGTTACCATCTATAATATGCATGTGATCCAAATTATGATCACCCAATTAAAGGTAATTTGCCAAATATCTGTCCAACTAATTGATTAAAGTAATTGTGTAGTACCTCAACATCCTTGATACAGCTAGAAATACCGAAGAGATTAATGTCAATCCAAAAATTTATCATTAACTGTGCCCCTATCAATATAATAATAATAATAAATAATTAGTATTAAAAATAAATAAATAATAGTGTTATTGATCATTACTCTAATTATCATTTGTAAATGACTTAAATAAAGTTCATAAACACAGTTCATTTACTTAATCTAATTCAAAGTGTTATTCATGAAATAAATAACGGCTTAACCAATTCTATGTCCATCATATCCCAACCAGCCTGAGGTACCCTGGTATTAGTTAAAATGCCTCATCAGCACTGGATATCACAGATATAGTATGGTTGATATGTTATCACATATTCTTCTTTTTTCA